ACCAACAGGGCACAGGCTGAACCTTGGTATATAATCCAGGAGCATCTGTAAGAAGATGATTTTTGAGGCTTGAATCCACAAGGGATCGTAAAATGCAAATTTTTCCTCTTCTACAGAGAAAATTAAAAGTCTAATGCTCATCTGTCTCCAAAGATTAGCCAGGTATTAGGGTCATAGAAACTTAGCATGAAAGAAAGTTAGAAATGTCATTGGCACACAGAAACAAAGAATAAATATTAGTTAGAAGAACTTGAGGTGGAACCAAATAATCTAGTTCTCTCTCCCTATCTCTCCATCTCCCTCCCGCTCTCTCCCTCTCCCTCTCTCTCTCCCTCCCTCTCTGCTTCCCTCCCCCTTTCTCTCTCTCTCTCTCTCTCTCTCTGAAGCTAAACTGATGGCTTATGCTGTGTCATTGCTTTAACATGTCACCCTTGATCTTTGCTTACCGTTCATCCCAATGTTTACTGTCGGTGAGCTACACATGGACAAATAATAGAACTATACAGTGCTCATTTCCCAGTCCAAGTGCAAAAGCCTCATGGGCAGGGATTATGAAGTATATCTCCGTATTCTCTTTCCTGTCTACTTTAGTCAATAAAATTAAATAAGATAATACTTGTGACGCACTTACCAGTGATCCATACAGTGTAAAAGCTAAGTAAATGCTTTTATATTTGCTCTGGGTGTTAGAGTACTATTATAAAATATGATGTATAGGATATTCTTGGTATTTGTTGATTTTCTTTGCATTATATGATAAAGTAGAGTCATATTTATGCCCTTAAATATCTACTTTATTTGAATAGACATTTCAAATATCAAGATTTTTAAATCTACTTATAGCACTTTAATGAATAAAGATAAAATAACTCAATTACTTAAAAAGTACCCAGAAAATTTTTTGTTAAGACTATGAAAAGTCTGTAGATGTACGATTCTTATTCACAAAGATAATCTTTTTAATGACAATATAAAGTCTTGTTTCGTATAAAGTTATATTCATTTTTCCTAAGGTAAAAGTCAGACATAAGAGTTCTGGTGATTACTGGAGTTTGGAGGTTGGTGTCCATGCTGATGAGCTGGAAATCCTAAAGGAAAATGTAACTTCCTTTGATCTTCCTTAGAGGCACAGAGAAAGAATATCAAAACACTAAAAGAAATGAACCACAGTTGGGTTTTTTAGCCAATGATTCCAGTAATGTTAAAGATTTTTTTCTCATATCTTACAAGCCCTACAGCACCTTTCCCCTCTGCTATTTTTGTGTTGTATAATTAGCATATAATTATGTGCTCTTTCACATTGGAAAGACTATTCTTTTATTAATGAGTCTTTTTTAAAATTCTGCATTATTTATCTTTGAAAGTGAGTTTGAAATTAAAAGGTTTGTATGACTTTTCCTTTCTTTCATTTTATCTTAGGAAATTTTAAAAGTAATACAGGAGATAGTTATGGATGCCACAGACATTCCTAAATTTTTCATCTTTAGAATGAAAAACAGTATTTGGAGAGATACATGTTACAGCTTCTGTTGTCTCCAGATTTAATGTTTGGGACTTTGAAGAATGAAACATTGATGTTACAAAAAGGACTATCTATCCTTACCTTTCTCCCTTTTGTGACAGAAAATGGGTCAAAAATACTTTCTGCACCTAGTACAAAGTCAGAGGAGGATACAGTTTACATGGTAGTAAGTCAGTATATGTTCCATATTAGTCTAAAATGAGTTCAAATTGCCCCTGGTTTTCAGACAGTTCTGGAAGGCTCCACTCATCCCTGCCGAAGTCTTGCAAGCCTCTCTGCTGATTTTGGCTGACTGCTTTTCCCTGACATTAGGGTTACCAGAGCACTCTGGTATATAGGCTATTGTAAGGCAAGTTGCACATTATTGCAAATTTTAATCATTTCTCAAGCCATTTGCTTGTAATGAAAATCCCATATGACCCACATATCTTGCATGAAAAACACAAATAGATTTTCACTGAAAGCAGCTTTTACATTGCTTTGTAATCTGTTCATTCCTGCTTTATTTCTGGGCTTCCTTTTTTGTGGCTAGAACTAGACAAATGAGGGTTCTGATGGTTTGTTGATGAGGGAAGCCAGAGATACCATATTCAAGACTAGAAAGCAGACAAAAATGACAATGATTAAAACAATGACTCAAATTTCTTTCTTTGTGATTTATGCACGGTAGAAATTACCTACCTCCCAACTCCTCCTGTGGGTTAAATAATACTGTGCCCAGGAATATTTCAAGATATTTTTTCTTGTCTTCTGCACTATTTCCACTATTTCAATGAAAATGGTAGAGAAGTAATAAACTCTTAACCTTGGAGGCTGTGTTTGTATGTGTGTGTGAAATAGCATAAGAGAAATTTGCTCATGTCATTTTATAAGGCAAATTAATATTCATTATTGCACATTTTTGCCTTGCCATTTAGAATGCTATGATATTTGGAGTTGAAACTATCCATTTTTCTCCATTTTTTATACAGCTGATTCCCCCCCTTGGGAAGGAAAAAAGGGTTAATATATTTTTTTTTTAACTCAAGACCTTCAGCATTTAATTTTTTTTTTTTTAAGTCTTCGAGACAGGGTATCACTAAGTCACTAAGTTGCCTGTTCTGGGCTCAAACTTGTGATTCTCCTATCTTAGCCTACCAGAGTTGTGCAATGACACATATATGCCACCACAACTGACCAATAATAATTGACTTTGATTTTACCCAAGAAACTCCTTTCAAATCTTATCTTCTCTTGTACATGTTGATTTCTCTTTTTAAAGTGGGTATCAGAGAATCAGAATCATTAGAGATTTTAAAACCAATCCAAACACCTATTGTAGCATGAATTATTTCTACAATATCTTAGAGGAGGTTCTTCATTACCAGCTATACTCCAGAGCAAAACAGAAGAAAGAAAACTAGAAGATACTACTATTGGTTACATGAAAGACAAAATGCAACTAAAACAAAGTGCAGGACCTAAATGTGGTCTCTTGTTTCTCTATTCATGAATCCTCAGCCTCTTACCCATCTTGTTTCATTATGTTGGAAAGAATTCTTGAAGCATAGACTCAGTTTTAGTTTGAATTATTGAGAATATAACCAATGGGAAGTTAAACAGCACTCTAAAAATATTTTTTTCTGAGAATTTAGAGCACCTGGTACTGACCTTTTCATTTCAATGATCCAAAAAGTTAAAAGTTAAAGATATTTTTAAAGGTCTACTTCATGTGAGAAGGACTATATGAAACTTTTATTGCTGCTATTTAAAATAAGTTAAATCCTAATCTAAAGTTAAGTGCAAGATACAGAGAACAGGTTTTTGAAAGGGGCTATGTGGCTTAAACCCTGGTTTCCCAATTAATTAACTTTATGACCTTGAAAAGTCACTTAACTTTTTTGAAGTTTTGGTTCACACATCTGTAATAAAGAGATAAAAATATTTTCCTATTCATGGGGCCATTAAGAGGATTAAGTGAGCCAATTTATTTGGTGTACTGCATGTTTTAAGTACATTTAAGTAGTTTCTTCTGGTCCACTTAAGTAGTGGAAACATAGGATTTGGTTGTAAAATGCTCACTTTTTTTTCATTTGTTTTAGAATCACAAGCCTTCATTATTTTGGAAAGAATTTTGTGAATCATAGACTCCATTTTAATTTGAATTACTGAGAATATAACCAATGGGGAGTTAAACAGCACTCTAAAAAATTTTTTTTTTCTGAAAATTTAGATCACCTGGTATTGACCATTTCCTTTCAATGAATTTCCATGAGCTTTACTTTGAAATAAGAATAATGTTAGGAAAAAATAATTTCATGGTATTAATGGCTTACAAGGAAATTTTATATGCCCCAAATATTCTTTACAAATCCATATGGATTATATCTTTTTCCAATTCACTGAATAAAACAATTATTCAAACTAACCAAACATGCACTTAATGTACTTTGAAAAAATGTGCCAACATTTCACTAACAAGTTAGAGTCAATAATAATTTCACAAAGTATATTTTTATTTGTAGTATTGGAAATTGGTGATTTCTACTCACTATCTAATTAGTCAAAGTACTGAAGACTTCACGTGACAGACTGAAGTATATTTGAATGAGATCATAAAATAATATTTTAAATATGAAACAGTATTATAAATTAAATAGCCTTTAGTTTTATGTTAGCCCTTATAAAATATCCCCATGACATTATTCTGGTATATTATTTAATAATCTGACTCAATAACAATATATTTTTCTTCAAAGCAAAAAAAAAAAAAGAAGCCAACAGAAGCACACAAAGGTAAAACTTTTATTCATTAATTCTATTAAAAAACAATCCAAATTCTGCTAGTGCAGAAAATTCATGTATCTAATTAGGAAATAAAAGAATAAAGCTGTTTTTCGTTCTTCAATCCCCCCAGAGGCTCTCCCGGCAAAGCTAAAATACATCACTGTCTTAAGAGTATTCTTCACAAATTGAGCCTAAAATTCTGCAACTCGTCTCAGTAACCCATTTAAATTAGTGCAAACCCGAATCACTAAAAACTATTTAATGATCCAGAAATCAGTAAGATCAAAATAAATACCTTCATAAAACACGCCCCCCCAAAAAAGAAAAAAATACATAATGGGAAAATTTGATTGAGTCGTACGTAAACTAAATCCCTCTTTTTCAAAATTGATTCTGATTCCTAGTAGAAGAATGGGGACTGGGATCACCTTCCCAGCATTTAACATGCATTCTCGAGGGCTTTCCGGGTCCTAGCAACATCTTATGAAGGAACAAGAAGTGATCAGAGAGCATGACCGCTGATGGTAACCTATGCTGGTATTCCAAAATAAAAATCTGCTATGAAAAATGAATGAGGAAAAAAATGGGAAACATACACTATGCAAGACTATGTTCTGTCATTCTGTAACCACCACTAACCCTGCCATCCCACATGTCCCAACCTCGATTAATTCAGAGACATTTTGCTTTCAAAAGCTGGCAGTCCACTTACCCGAGTTGTTTTCACTTTATTACCGGAGGAACAGCTCCAGCCTTTCCTATCTGGGAGAACTTTACATTCTTCTCCCTCCAAACACGGCTGCATGTGACACCACCATTTCTGTTCCACTATGGAAGCTACAAGAGAGATGAAAATCAGCTTAGGTTTTTCTACTTGAGATTGTTATTTCTCTGGGTGAACATTTAAAAAGGAGCAAACACTGGCCTCATTAAAATATTTTTAACTAAAAGAATTTTTCTTTTAAAGTTTTATTTTTTGTGATAAGTACACTTAACCAGAGATCTAAAGTGCTAACAAGTTTCTCAGTGAACAAGATAATAGCATTAACTATAATCGCAATGGTGGAGGATTTTTCATGTGAAAATATAGGCATCGAAAGACAAATATAGTTTTTTAAAAATTATGTGACTGTGTACATGCACTAGTTCATATAAACATATATGAAAAGATCCCATGACCATATTAGAATAGCATTTTAGGATCAATGCAATGTTTCCTATGAGTGGCTGAAAAAATCAAGAGACTTTAGCATGAGAGCTAAAATTAGGTAGAGTTAACACATTTTTCTTATACTTTATATTGAATAATAATCTTATCACAAGACATACACCACCTAACTAGTTGCTATTTACAACAATATCAATTAATTAGACCCTTCTAAAGTTTTATGTTTTGCTACAATTAGGTGAACCCTTAAAAAAAGAAATGAATACTCTCATGAATCAAAAATCAAATTCTGCATGAATTCTATCTACAACTAAGCATTCACGCACGTACAAGGTGTTGATATTTTCATTATCCAGACTCACCCCTGGGCTTAGGAACTCACAGTATTAAACTGCGTATTTTCACCTTGCTTTTACCAGTTAATTTACACACACACCCACCCTTTACCATCGACCAGGAAATCAACATTTCATGGCATCAAAGTAAAAAACACATTGATGTAATGGAACCTCACTATAATGCCTTTTGTAAGAGAACCTCGTAAGAAAATAGGCAGCTATCTAAAAGATTTTAGACTTTACAATGCCCCCCACAACTTCATTTCAGCCATGCAATTTTTAGTGTGATTCCCCAGGATTGACTATAGTTGATAATATTATAGTGAGGTTCCAGTTCCAACCAGGCCCAGCTACACCATCACAGGGAGCAATGGAAGAAGTCGCACCATCCACGCAAGAGGGAGCAGCTCTTGTGGTGCCAGCCACCTGCCCAGGGAAGCAGGAACACTTGACCGTTTGTGACCGTTCCTCTATCTTGTTCTTATTACAGCATCTGTGGAGTGCCACCACCTCGCAAGTTCCCGTTTTGACATGGTGAGCTGTGCAAACACAAACAAAAGATAAAAAAACATTGAGAAAGCTTTGGCCACTTCCCTCCCTCTTTCTAATTAGAAGTACATTAAATATAGCTCGATAAGGAATCCACCATGCATGAAACTAGAAATACAACGATGCTAACTCCATAATGCAGATTTGATTTCTTTTCTAAATGTTGTGAGAACATTTCTGTCAGTAAATGCTTGGTGAAGCAGGCACAATTACAGACTAGATTAGGATGAGCTGTTTAAAACAGTCTGAAAGATAGAGGCAATGTATGGCGCTATCAAAATACAGCTTTTTTGCATATGATTTTCCACACCCTTTTGTTCGCTGTGCTAATCAAATTAAAGTAAACCGTGGACAAGGTACTCCAAAATGGGCTTGCATCGATCCCACTCTCAAAGCAGGTGGGTGCTGATAACAGTTATGTTCATGGGGGAGAGAGTGGATGAACCAGGCACAGAGCACCCATTCAGGAAACAGGAGGCAGAGAGGCAGGATCATATCTTCAGTATTCTTCTGCCCAATTTCCCCAGAAATGAAGAAACAAAATGATTCTTGATTTGCTACCATTTTCCCGGAAACTCAACCAATTTCAGGATCCAGGGCCATTTCATCTCTGTTTCACAAAAAGAGACAGCTGCCACCAAATGACACCAAGGACAGTCAGAACTTGAGTGGATTATGTCTGTCAGCCAGCCCCTGGGAACTTGGGCTCATACACTGTCAGCGTCCCACAACCATTTTTTTCACCTCACAGTAAGGCTACTGGAATTTTAGAATGATTGAACTTGGACCTCATTTGTCACAGCATGATAGGCTTCTAGATTATCTCCATCATTGTTTTTCCTACAGAACATTTTCAAATTGTTAACCCTTCTTGAAAATGACAAAGCATAAGTTTTATCTGCTAAAAGTAAAAATAACTTAAAATTAAATGTGCATTGAAAGATTATTTCAGAAATTTGGAATGCGATGATATAGAAGCAAATTTAAATAGGAGATCCAAAGTTGTTAAAAGTTATAAAATACATTTTGAACCATTGTAATTGAAAACATTATATTAACCTCCCCTTGGGAAATGTAAAGAACAAATATACTGTAACTCAGTTTAGGAAACGTGCTTAGATTTTTCTAAGAAAGTAAATCATACATCTCATTCACCTCTCTCCCTCTTGTGAGCCCAAGATATTCAGGTGTGACATAGAGCTTTGACACATAGTCTTTAAAAGAGCAATTAAGCAACAGAAACCATTTCTAAAGCTACAAAGATTTTTCTGCCTCTAGAGACACAGGTTTGATTCAAACACCAATCTATCTTCAAAAAAAGGTTAAAAATGTAAGAGCCAGAATTCTCTTCTTATGCTCTTGTGCTCCTGAAAATATTTTCTTAGTTAAAAAAATTACTTCAGAGTCAGTTTTAAGTTCCTGAATAGCTTGTGCTATTTATGCAAGTAATGTAACTGCCTTGTACACTGAGCGTCACTCAGTCACATTTTGAATGAGTGAATGTCACACAAACAGCGTGGTTCTGAGTACTGGGTGTACTGATCAGATTTCTCATTACTAGGATGAAATACCTAACACTTGCCACTTAAAGGACGAGATGTTTACTACGGATAATGATTTCAGAGCTTTCAGCCCATGATCAGCTAGCTTCAAGGCATGGCAGCTGGGGGTGGCAGAGCGAAGCTGCTTGTTTCTTGGCAGTCAGAAGACAGCACAGGGGAAAAAGAAAAGAAGACAGCACAGGAACCACAGGTACACCTTCCAAAGGCACACCCTCGGTGATACCTCCTGCCATGCTCCACCACCTGACTAAGGGCACATTCGTTTATGGACATCGCTGCGTTAGCACGCCAATGAGCATAGTGCTCCCATGAACCAATAGGAGGCAGGGGTCTCTTAATCTAGACAAGTTAACAATTAAGCTTAACTTTCACACTAGGGATGCAACAATGAATAAGAAGACCGCAGACTGTCCCTACACTCAAAGAGAGAAGAAACCAATCATCCTTTAAGTTAATGATTAGGAAATTCAATGTCAGGCATTTAAAGCTATTGAAAGAAATACAGTAGAGAAATGGGATTTAGAATAATTGAGCAGGAAAGGAATGTACGGATCTTTTTTATGTCTCAAGGAAGATGTTCTGAGGAGGTAACTTTATTAATGAGCTGAATGATGAGAAGGAAGACTGCATGATGAAGATCTAAGAAAAGAAGAGCCCTGCAAACAAAGGAGTCAGCAAATAACGAGGTCCTGAAATAAGGAACAGAGTGGTGTATTCCTCAGTCAGGAGGGAATTTGTCAGAACTGCTTGAAGGTCATGTAGGGGCTGGTAAGTAAACTGGGCATTACCCTCCTTATAAGGGAAAACCTTTGGACAAAGAAGACATAATTTAATTTATGCTTAGATTGGAATTTTACTCAGTTCTTCAGAAATGAGCTGAGAGAAGCATTTGTAGAAAACAGTTTTTGTTTTGTTTTGTTTGTTTTTTTTCTTTTTGGTACCGGGGATTGAACTCGGTTCCTTGCCCTTGCAAGGCAGGCCACCGAACCGCTGAGCTAAATCCCTGGCCCAGAAAATAGTTTTAAAGGGGCTATAAGAAAAGCCCAGGTGATAAAGGATGTGGCTGAGCCTTGAACTGCAGGCAAGTTGTAGAGAGACAAAAGGTTAGGATTCTGCAGTGTTTAGAAGTTCAGATTTGGCATGGATCAAATGTGTCTCCTGATGGAAAAAGGACTCAAAAATTACTCCTAAATTTGGACTGAACAATTAGAAGTTGATAATTCTGTCAGACAGAGAAAGTTTTAGAAAGGGGAAGTTTGGATTTAGGATATCTCTACATTTATCTTGGCCATGTTAAGTTTGAGAATTTTTTAAGATATCCAAGCAGTGATGTAAAATGGGAAAACATTTGTGGGATAATTTTTAGGGAAGAGATTTTGGCCACTGACACAGATTAAGAGATCTAAACCTACAAATGATATGTAAAACCATAGCCTGAACCAGACTGCCATGGAGATATTGCCAGTACAGAAGAGAAAAAGGAGAAAAGCAGCCCAAAATCCAGATTGAAATGGAGGAAATAGTAAGAGGACTGATAAACAGCAGCACATAAAAAAGTGCACCCACACACACACACACACACACACAAATAAAGGATGAAGAAATAGAAGACCAAGAAATAAAATATACCAAAAAGAGGAGACCGATCAGCTATGTCAAATGCCACTGAAACATCCAATTAAATGAAGAGAAATAATTGTCCATTGAAAAAGTACTATATGCTGATTAGCCTGTATTAGTCTACTTTCTCTTTACTGTGATATGATACCCAATATCCACAACTTAAAATTGGAAAGGTTTAGGGTGAAGGGAGGGCAGGGACAAGGGGAAAAAATGAAAAGCAAGACCTGTCATGTAAAGGTACAGGATCCCAATAATGAACGGAACTGTACTGTATACCTAGAATGCACCAATAAACTCAATGAGGAAAAAAAATGGAGAGGTTTAATTTAACTCACGGTTTAAGGGCTTCAGCCAAAGGTCAGGCTCCAAGCTATCATGGTGGAGGAAAACTGCTCATTTTATGGCAGCCAAGAAGCAGAGAAACAAAGGAGGATCAGATTTGGAAAGAGATTTATCCTCCAAAGGCATTTCCCCAGCAACACACTTCTTCCAACCAGGTCCATCTCCTCACAGTACAGTTACCCGTTAATTCATCAATGGATCAACCCAGTAATGAATAGAGCACCCCATGACCCAAGTGCCATACCTCAGAATATAGCTGACTCTCCTCTTGGGGATTTTTAGATCTAAATTATAACATAGCTAAAGAACTCTTGAATGAAAAAAAAAACAAAGCTTTGATAAAGATACTAAGAACACACAATAAAGGACAATCTCTTCAATAATTGATGTTAGAAAATTAGATATCCACATGCAGAAGAATAAAATCAGATTCCTTTCTCATAACCCATGCAAAATCAACATAAACTGGATTTAATACTTTAATGTAGGAGCTGAAATTTTTTAAAAAAAATATTATACAGTAAAACATAAGAAAAAGGCTCTATGACATTTGTCTAGGTAATTATTTAATTCAGAAATGTCACCAGCCCCAGCACTCAGGAGGCTGAAGCAGGAAAATCATTGTGAACTTAAGGCCAGCCTGGACTACATAATGAGTTCAAGACCAGAGTGAACTACATAGTGAGATCCTGTTTCAAAAAATAAATAAATAAAAATAAAACACCAAAAACAACCACACACACAAAAAAATAGATAACAGGGACGAAAAGGTTTCTGCAGAAGACAAGTAAACAATCAATAAAGGGAAAAGAGAGCCTGTCCTATAGAAAGGAAGAAAGAACTCTCCATCTGATAAAGGGTAAATATTCAAAGTACATAAAAAGTTAAAACAAATAGCAAGGCAAATAGCCCAAGTTAAAAATTTACAAAGGTTATGAATAATGCTCAAAAGAAGATGTACAAATGGCCAACAGAGAGCCTGAATGGAAGGCTGAGGCAGGAGATTCCACCACAAATTCAAGGCAGCCTTGGCTATGTAGTGAATTCAAGGCCAAACTAACTGCAAGGGAGACACTTTCTCAAAAAAGGAATGTCCAACAGGATATGGAAAATGCTTAATGTCACTGACCTTCAATTATATACAAATTGTGGAATTAATTCTATGACCAGAGTCATGGGAAGAATTAAGTTCATGAACTGAGGCACCATTGTATCTCTTCTCTCCAGTTAAAACAGTTATTATTGAAAAGACAAAAGATTTTAAATGTTGACAAATATATAGAGAAAAGGGAGTTTTTACTATTAGTGTGAATGTAAATTGAATCCACCATTATAGAAAAAAGGGTGGAGTTTCCTCAAAAAATTTAAAAATATCAATTTTAGTTTAATAGGTATTATTTTTAAAAATGCAGAATCAAGAAATTAAATTTAAAGTCAAATTAAACATAATTTAAACTCACAAA